ACGAGCAGCATGTGAGTATGCATATTATAGCTAGTCATAATGTAATCATAATCAGTTGAGAATGTGATTGATTTCTATTGATTTTTATTTGTATGCATTTATTCGACGAGTCAGAAGTAAATTGAAAAAAATAATAACAGTAGTAGTAATTTAGATAATGGCTAACAAATAATTTTACATATTATTACTGCAAAATCTCGCGTCTGTCGCAAAAATAGAATGATTTGATTTTGGGCTTTGGAATTTTGGAATTTTGTTTATAGCTAAATATTGAAATCTTAAGATACCCTAACTTCATCGAAGTTGACAATCATCAAATGTGTATAGCATATTATGAAGCATGGAACTACCCTCAGCAAACTTTTACGTTTGTCGAATTATACGCTTGTGACGTCACTACATCGCTGAGACATTTGTTTATTTTGTATATTAATTCGTCCGATCGGTCTAGTATTATGATCTAAATATTTTGATTTATTATAAAACAAAAATCATTTCAAGGTATTCCTGAGTATACCGTTTTCAAAGATGAAATGACGTGGGAAGATGCAAAGGCTGCTTGTGAATCTTTTTCTTGGAAACTTGCTGAGATCCGTTCCCAGGCACAACAAGATGCAGTCAAAGCCATTTTACCAGCAGGAAACAGTAAGTTTAAACATCATGAACACCATGATATAAATCATAACTAGGAGAAGTGAAACACAGATTAAAATTATGTGTTTAATTTGTGATCGACGTAGTTGGTAATATCTAATCTTACATATCGTAGTTTGCACAGTGATTGAGTTGTCTTTATTCTAATTGTAATCTTTGCTATATGTTTAGGGATAATGGCCGACCCGCGGCCAATTATTCTCTGTTATAAATCACCATTATCAGAATATCATATACAGAGATTGTTATGACGTCAAAGTTTTAATTACCATACGATAATGCGGAAATCCTTCTAATTTTAACTAAATTTGTTTATTTTTGATGGTGGTGTTAATGAACCCTACAGCCTCATATTGAATTCAGAGATGGCTCTTGACGCGATAATAAACCCGGCTTTGCCTCGCACATCACCTGCTTATAGACCCTTGGTGTCATCCAATATGGCGGTGTGGGGAATTCAGTATTGCTTAAATAACTTTCATCCGGCGATGTTAGTTTCTCACTTTACTTTTTCATACGATTTTCTCGCCAAACCAACAAAGACATGATTGCCGATTATGGTGACGATTCAGTTTCCCGAGTCACATAGAAGTGATGATTTATAGGGATATTGCACGGTTTGCTTGTAACTACCGTAGAATTGACGAAAGACGTCCTTTCGGGTTGTTCATAGTTAAAAATTCGAGCACTGTCGTCTTTTCTCAACCAACCTAAAATGAAAAACAATACCGTTTTGCAAAACCCAGGAGTAAAATGAACGTTTAAAATCACACGAATCATGTTTCAGGGTACGGCATGTAGAATACTGTATATAATGTAACCTACTTTGGAAAGCTACCACCACCCATTTTATCTGTTTCATCTTTCCCCGTTCATTCCTATTCATTAATCCTCTGAGAGTAACCAGAGCCGTTTCGGTAGCGCTGGTGTTCTCAAGTTCGTCATGTTCTAAGTATTGAAATCAAGATCAGAGTTTGCTTTGCTTACTTTTCTTCCGTCCTCACGTGATATCGTTTGACGAGCACGAACCAGATATACACAAATGCACGGCATTCTAATTCTTGAATAAACATCATCTTTGTATGTTTTTATTCCCAAACAGATCATTATTGGATTGGTGTTAAAGATGTAGTCGGTGACAATAAAAACTATGAGTATGCTACTGGTGGTTCAGTGATTTACACAGACTGGTCGTCAAATGAGCCAAATAATTATAAGGGTACTGCTGAGGATTGTGTAGAGTTACGGTAAGTAAATTATATTTCATTTAATCACGGTTATCAGAATCTAGTAACCGTAATTTAATGTGTAAATTATATTCCAAAAATCAGTACTACGTCTAATTGTAATTTGTTTGCCTGCTGCGAGGCTGATATATTTCTATGTTCGATATGATATTACGGACACGTAAATAAATCAACAAAAACATGATTAGCGACAACAACATCTCTAATCTCTTTCAAATTTACAGAGGTGACCATGACTATGAGTGGAACGACGTACCGTGTAGCAATAAAATGGCTGCTGTTTGCGAGTTTAAGCGTAAGTTTATTGTTATTTATGTCAATTAGGTTATTACATGTAAATGGTTGCTAAGGAAGATCATTGTATAATAATTTGCAAGCTAACATACATATGCAAATTAAGTCTCGAGATTAGCACCATATGCGCTAAACTCAGTTATTTGTTTTTATTGGAAAACC